TTAGGAAAAAAACATGTCGTAACCTGCTCTCAATTGGTTTTGCAAATGAAAACCAAACTCGAGCTAAATAAATCAAAACAAAGTCGCAGTATAAAATACTGCTATAATAATATAAATGTGTACTTACAGAATACTGTAGTAAAACGGTAATGACGTATTTCTTGACAAGATGCAGCGGTGAGGAACAATTAATTATTTTAATTTGGAACGTTCGTGTATCCTTGCTGACACTTCACGGATAAATGAAGAGCGGTGCGGGGAGGGGTGAGGACGGGCCTCTATCCCACTCTTGCGTACATTTTTTAAACAGTATATATGGAATAAACGTTGTTAATTTTAATGACGCCTAATTCGTAACAATTTTTTAACTTTATATTTTTAGTTATTTTGTGATTTCATATTTAATATTTGCACCACGCCTTTGAAACTTAGTTACTGTACTTATAAATTTTAACAAAGCCTGATTTGAAAGTAAGTTTTTAAATAAATCTTCCGAAAACTGTAACGTATGTCGTGTTGTGACAGGAAAAATAATGGTGTTTAGCATGGTTTATAGCCGATTAAATTTTTAAATAAAAAAAATGAACCATTTAAGTAACTGCGCCTCTCGCAACAAATATCACGAAATGAAATCGTATTAAATTTTTAAGTTTTTCCGTCTTTTATATAAACATACAACAAGCGGACACTTTTTTTCAGGGTATTGGAGATTCACCCGGCTATGAAGTAGAATTCCCTCCCTGCAAACACTATTCTATTATACCCTGAACCCTGTAACTTGAACCTTTTCAAGGCGAGAGTGAATAGGCATTAGTTGGATGTGCAATGTGCATGCTCCATCGTCACTTTCCAGTGTTGTACTCCAGGGCAGAACCACCTAAGCTTTAATAAATTTTTATTGTTCCAAAAATGTCTATAAGATTTTTATAAAATTCTAGTCCTATTCAAAAAATATCTATGTCACTAGTTTTGTCGTAAACTTTCATTCAATGTGGTTGTGCTGCGGAGCGTTCTCTACGGCCGAACCACCAATAAATATTTATTACTACACATAGTATAAGCAAATACATGGCATCAAATAATTCTATAACAATTATATATTGACCTAGCACCCGAACACCCTCAATCTATTTTGAATATACGAACAAGTCGACGCCTCAAACTTTCACCTCGAAATTGTCGTAAGCCCCTACATAAAAGTTCTTGGCAAGGACATGAAATATCATATTATGTGCATTTCCAGGCGTTTAGATAATGAATCTCGTAATGATAGCAAAAAGTTTGCTCCATGATTTTTTTATTATGTACCTTACACATTGACAATAATAATATTTAATAATTTATAAGCCCTAACAGGAAAATGAAAATATACTAGATTAAATAACTGTTCTATCGAGAAAATATTTTATTTTATGGCTAGTTATGTAAACGCATGGAAGTGCATACTAATATAATATTTCATGTCCTTGCTAAAAACTTTTATGTAGGCGCTCAGCGACTACTTCAAGGAGAAAGTTTGAGGCGTCATTATGTTCATATATTCAAAATAGACTGAGGGTTTTGGGGTGCTAGGTCAATATAGATTTTTTATAGAATTATTTGGTGCCATGTATTTGCTTATACTATGTGTACTCAAAGATATTTATTGGTGGTTCTGCCGGGGAGAATGCTCCGCAGTACAAACACTTTGAATGAAAGTTTACGACGAAACTAGTGATATAGATTTTTTTGAAATAGGACTTGAATTTTATAGAAATCTTATAGATATTTTTGAAAAAATAAGAATTTATTAAAGCTTAGGTGGTTCTGCCCCGGAGTATGACGCACTTTCCATCACGTGTGATGGAGGCCACTTATTGTTTTATAAACACTCGGTTACTCAAAACATTATACTTTTTAACTGTCAAAGACAAAAAACTAATTTCTTCGTTGATATATTACTTTTGATAATTTTTATTCAATACCTATAATAGTTTCAACGCCTATCAAATGCAAAATACCCGAAACATGAGATGGACGTCAAATTCGCACTTTTTTTTTTATAAAAAAAACACTAAGTGGTAGTAGGTAATAATAATGCATTTTGTATTCACAATTACAATGGCATTTGCCTTAAAAAGGAACCATATAAGACTTAAAAAACTTACATACAATATAAAAGAGCGAAAATAGAATAAGGTCAGCATGGGTAAGTGTGACATACTTTTTACGAAGTTTATTCGTATAAGATTTTGAACATCAAAATCAAACCATTTAAGTTCGGTGGAAAACCTTTTAAAAGACAATTAAAAAGCCACTTTATTGGTGCTTAGAACAAAATAAAAGATTCTTGACCTGGTTTACACTCTTTATAATCTCAGTACAGAGTACTAAAAAAACCAACCTCAAAAATACATGGAGAAAAACGCCTTGAATGGGAGAATAGCAAAATCAATCATTCAAATAATTGCTCCTTATGGTAAAATTTAGGCGCTATTTATAAAAATGAATCTTCATGCGTGAACAGCCACCCTTAGAGGTGGATGATTTTCTTCTTCTTTCTAACAAAAAAAAGAATCATGAAAATCGACATACATATACGTACGACATGCACTAAAGTTAAAACGAGATTTAGTCACAGTGACACTTTCTGACTGTTCTCTTCTTACTTGAAACGCTAATTTCAAATATTATCAGTAATTTTATCAAAAACAATATTGTTTTAAACTAATCATCGGTAATTACTAAAATAATAAATTAATGTTTACCACCTCTGACTTGGGGCAAGTGTGACATATAGACACACTACCTCAACTAAAGTAGGCACGATTCCTTCCTTACCTTACCTTATTTATAAGTTATCATATTCCGACCCCCTACACTCGGAGTCTCTAAATAGATGAACTAGGTAAAAACAATAATTATTAGTATAATAAAAAAAAAGGTAAAAACCTATAAAACCATACCAAAATCGTGGATGCATTACAAAACTAGCTTAAAAAAAGTAGGTTACACACCACTACGTCGTTAAATATCGATTAAATGGTACCAACAAAGCGTGCAATAAAATCGAAAGACAAAAAGTAAATGAAAGGGACTCATAGAAAAGTAGGACCAGACTAATAATGACTGTAATACAATTTTCGAATTGACAAATTGTCGTAATAAAACTCTTCCAGAAGTTTGCATGCTGATTATTATCGATATGAAATCAAAGATCTAACCATGAATGTAGATTGCACCAATTTAACTTATGTAGCTATATTGGATTTTGGACTAACTTATTACTTTATTAGGTACCTACTGGAAAAAAATATATAAACGTGACAAAAACCATAATAACTTTAAAAAACCGGAAAGTCCAACATTCATATTAATAAACATTGAGTAAAATAAGCATTTAAAGCCAATATGTTTCTGGGCCGGGGGCTAATGCATATGAAATTGTAGTTTTTTTTACTTTCCTTTTACTCATCTACATTTCTTTTATTATTAGTCACAAATAACTCGGCAATAGCGAACAAGACCGCTTTTCCGGCTAATTCTACTCGGTCGTTATTTATTTTGCACTGAAGTGTACCACCACGTCGTGAAGCTTGACGAGCGATAATTTTGTCTTTCTTTAATTTTTGTGCCCAAAGAGGTGCAATGTGACAATGCCCCGATCCACAGACTGGGTCTTCGGGAATGTTGAATTTAGGAGCGAAACTTCTGCTAACACAATCAAAAACAGCACTTGGAGCTGTCACGTGCAGCAGCATGCCAGGCAGTTCTTTCGTTTTTTGTAAGTCTGGTGTAGCAGACTCAACTTGCTCTTCATTTTGTAGTACACAAACCAAATCACGGCCCATCCAAGCTTCCAGAGGGCGAAAACCGATGGCTTTTTCCATGTCTTTAGTAACTTCTATAGATATTAAAGAATAGCTTGGAAATTGTATCTCGTATAAATCCTGATTTTTCTTGACAATTAATTCGCCGCTCAATGTTTGAAACGTAATATTATTCAACGTTTTATCCACATAGTTCATTATTACAAAAGCGGTAGCAAGTGTGGCATGACCACATAAATCGATTTCTCCACCTGGAGTGAACCACCGTAAACGGTAGCCATTTCCTTCTTTGACAGTAAAGGCTGTTTCAGAAAGATTGTTTTCTTGCGCTATTTTCAGCATGAGGTCATCTTCAATCCACTGGTCCAGTACACAAATTGCTGCAGGGTTTCCTTCGAATAGTTGTTCAGCAAACGCATCTACGATATATTGTATCATTTTTAAACACCACTCGTTTCTCAATTAATTGCGTCTATTTCACAAGTATAGTGATAACAAACTGACAGCCATTATCAGTAATTTCACGTTTGTTATCTACATATATAAAAAATCGGCTCTAAACGATCCCATTGAACACCCAATGCAAATAGCTCATATATTCTTAAATATCTCATATATCGCACACTGGGAATGACAGTGATATAATGCTTTTTTTTATTTTGAGCAGGTAATGAGCAATTCAAGTTCTGAAAATTGTGATAATTGCAATTCGTTACTCAACGAAGATTTTGAATGCGGTTTTCAACTAAACTCAAAGGGAACCCGCATAGTTTTAGAAGTATTATACAAATTTTCACCTACCAACATAAAATAAAGGTATTTTTGAGATTTATTTTTTATTATTATTTTGTTTAGTATCACTCACTATTCATCATAATCTTTTCATGTAAATTAACAGTTTTTATTATGCATTCTAATTATGCCATGAAATTTAAATTTAAACTTCGAAAATAAAAGGATAAATAACTCTAACTTATCCACTAACCAGCGTAGATTAGGGGGTCTACTCTCGATCTCCGTCCGAAACATTTACTGCCAAATAAGCAATACTTGACCAAATAAAAAGACGCGTGATGCGAATGAAGCTTCATACCGGATACTTGTCTTTTAATTTTGTCGAATATTACTTATTTGACAGTAATTGTTTCGGACGGATGGCGGACAGAGATCTAGAGTAGCCCTGGCTCAGGAATCCTATACTATATTAGTCTTAATGCAAAACACGACTCTTAAACGACATTATGCAAAAAATTACGATGTCCTTCACTGAGTTACTAGTAAATTGTTTCACAACTCAGCGATCTCTGTCACTACCAAAAATATGTCAGTATCGCGCTCTGTTCCCCTTATACGGCATAACGTCATTAAGTCATGTAGCAAATTCTAGGCAAACAACGTACACGGGGATTCTTGCATTATAAAGTTTGTACTCTCAAAACCAAGATGACGTTAAAAATAAAAAGATATAGTTTTTTCTATAGTGACGTTATCACTCTCACTCTGCGATATATTGTATTTACGAGTGATTTTCGCAGCTGTGATTTTTGCGCGGCGTGGTTGAAAGTCGTAGTATTACTTGCCAAAATAGATATGTAATATTTTTTTCGCCTCACTAGCTCGGAAAGGCTTTCTTTCTCATTATAAATCTGCGCGCAAAAGCCACATATGTGTGGATAGACCTTTAGACTATTTTGTTTTTCCATCCTTTACGGCAAAAGCGATTTTTGCACGCTAGCGCGGAATGTATTTGAAATTCGTACTTTTTTTCTTATTTCTCGTGGCTTTTCGCGGTAAGCGTTTTACCACTTACAAGTGTTTTGACTGCATTGACTGACTGACTTGTTTTTAAAACGGGGAAACTTGTTTAATATCATGGAATGTAATTTGGAAACAGGATTTGAAAGTTGGAGAATAAGTGAAATAGGGGATGAGGCGAGGAATTATTTGATGTAAATAAATAAATGGTATAGGTACCTAAATATAGAATAAATATTATATTAATACAGCCATACTTCAGCAGTTTTTATAGTATTTTCTAAAATAAATTTAGATAAATAAGTATATTATAGATAAGTTATGGGCAACAACAAAAGATGGATGGAAGTCGGAAGAGGCACATGGGGTTGGATAACGAGGTCTACTCTCGTCCTTCGTCTGACGTCCGTCCGAAAAAATAACTGTCAAATAAGTAATATTCGACCAAATTAAAAGTCAACGTCAAGTTTGAAGCTTCACTCGCATCATGCGTCTTTTTATTTGGTCGAGTATTACTTATTTGACGGTTATTTTTTCGGACGGAGAATGAGAGTAGACCCCAAGATATTGGATAAGAGAAAAACAATCAAATTTTGGGCAATTTAAAAAAGTGTCGTTTAAATCGCCAACTTTACCGCAGTCACACACATCGTCAACAATTATATTGAGGTGAGGTGACCGGGAGTACATACGTGACCTAATCTCATACGAGTCAATATGCTTGTTGCCACTCTGTTCAGTTTTAGTTAGAGAACCACGATTTCACTGGTATTGATGGTTGGATATTGCTATAAAATCTACTTTGAACCGAGAGCTCTCCGTCCATGCTATAGCCCAATTATTTCTAAGAAATATCTTGGGAAGTGTGACCGCGTCATGGTTATAAATCTTATAATGAGCCATGTCCCCCCCTTCAATACGTACATACATTTCAATAGTAACTTTCTTGTGTTAATAATTGCCGGAGAGATAAGTTTGGATTTAAACGGCTATCTTACAAGGACAAATCCGAAAATAGTACGGTCTTTTTTAATTTAGCCAATAGAATGTACTCAACGGATTTGTATAATCCGAAACATTCCCCAGTGACAACAGAACTCTTATTTTCTGTGCAATATTATATTGGGAACGATAAACCCCAACTTCACCATTAGTGTTTAGAAGCATCGCTATAAATGTGCAAAAATCGCTTTTGCCGTAAAAAAAAAAATGTGATGCCAAGTTTGGCATTTTGTGTCTGTAACAAAGTTAAAAAAATGTGTAGTTTCGACTGTTTCTTTGTTAACTCCTAAAGACAAACGAACGTCAGGGGTCAATATTAAAGCATCATAATTTACGTGGGGCGCACTACAAGTTTTCAGAATGAATAAGAAAAAAATACTATAAATGGTCAGAATTAAATTTATTGTTTCTCAAAATATTCTCCGTTAGCGTTAATACACTTTTTCATACGATTGAACCAATTTTGAAAACATTTATGCCACTCTTCCGTGACAATCTCCGAAACACATTTTTCATACTCTTCGACAGCCTCTTCAGGTAATGAAAATCGTTGACCGCGTAACTGGTTCTTAATTTTTGGAAATAAATAAAAGTCACAAGGTGCCAGGTCGGGATTGTACGCGGTATACATAAGGCCAACGTTGTTCACCTTCAAAAATTCATTTGTCTGTCTGGCCGTGTGAGAACTGGCATTATCGTGGTGCAATATGATACGGCGTTTACGGTTATTTTTACAGAGTTTGTCAATAACTTCCGGTAAACAAATGATCGTGTACCAATCACTATTCACGGTACAACTATTCTCCAAAGCAACAGTAGCCACGGGTCCAGTTTTATTAAAAAAGAAGCAATCATCCGCTTAGAGGCACTTTTAACGCGCGCCAATTTGGTTGGTTTCGGCTCATCTCGAAAAACCCATACGCTCGATCGCTGCTTTGTTTTGCGATCGGAACTATAAATTCACCTGTTACTGTGTCTCACGCCAAATTTGACGCCCCTTCATTGAATCTGGTAAGCATGGCATTGCACCAAGTGACGCGATCCGTTTTTTGAGCCTCAGTCAAATTGTGTGAGATCCACCTCTCGGCACAGCTTTTTCACACCCAAATGTTTGTGTAGTATTGATTATATTTGACTCATGCCTATGCCTAAAGATGCCCGAATCTCTTGGTGTGTAACATGCCTGTCTGTTTTGATCATACGGCGCACAACATTTCTGTTGATCACAGCAGTGGACGGGCAACCATCACGAAATTGGTCACTGAGATTCACACGACCGCGTTTGAATTCTGCAAACCAGCTATAAATAGTCGTCTTGCATGGTGCTTCATCGCCAAAAGCCGAGCGAAGCTCCGCTGAGCTGTTAAATAACACTTAAAGTCGTAGAAAACTATACTACGAAAATTTTCACGAGTTAAATCTATGGTTAAATCCATGGTGATGTAGACAACCAATTTCTAAAATGACGCCACAATGTAAAATCAAGTGACAGTTATATGAAACAAACTGTATTCTACAGCCAAAGAGTTCCATTTTCAAATGTTGTAATTACTTTTTAAACATTGTTTATGTAAGTGGCCAGTTTCGGAAACTTATAGTGCGCTCTAACTAAACTTATAGTGTAACACAGAAGATAGGAAGATTTACTGATGTGTGAATTGGTGCGTGAATAGATAAATACTTATGGAAACTGATAACAAAACATAGAAGGGATTTATGAGTCCAATAAGAAGGGGACGATTCCACAGATAAACAGTCTAGTCTAGATAATGAAGGGTGCTTAGTTAGCTGCAAGCATCGGCAAACATACTTATCCGATAGAAACTGTCTTCTTAAGTGGAGTGGTGGTTCAATCCCCTACCTGCATAGCATAAATGTTACCTAGACTTTCTAAATATTTAAATGAGACATTCAAAGAGTAAGATGCTGCCTGTATAGATTTGTGGCGTATAAAAGGAGATCGTCAGAATACTGTAGAACTTTAACATTTATAGGAAGCGACGCTTCTAAGTGATATGTGTATATATTGTACAGTAGAGGGCTGAGAACAGATCCTTGTGGCAAGCCTCTCCATACCACACGGGATAACTTGGTGCAATCGTGTAACTGTAAATTAATGAATCTTTCAGAAAGCAAATTGATAATGAACCTAGAAAGAATAGATGGGACGTCTAACATTTGTAGTTTTCTTTGGAGAGTTGAAATTATAACGTTGTCATAGGCGGCACTGATATCTAGAAAAGCGAATATAACTGATTCATTTAATGTAAAAGCTAAACTAATATCTGTAATAAATACACTAATGTTATCGGATGTACTTTTCTCCTTTCTGAAACCAAATTGATTTCTTGAGAGCAAGTATGGCTTTCTATAAACCATTCTAATCGGTTTTTTACAGTGTTCAGCAAGTTTTGCTAACACAGATGACAGCTATGGGGCGATAGGAAGTAACTTCAGTAGATGACTTGCCAGGTTTCAAAATAGGGACCAGAGATCATTGCGGAGTTTACAATATCAAGAAAATAAGCCAAAGTCTCCTCACTACTGTTAACTAAAAATGAATAAGGAATTCCATCATCACCAGGAGATGAATCCTTAGTATAAGAAAGTATACCTTTTAATTCGTTAATCGAAAACAGTGTATTTAAACCAGATCCATTCATAACGATAGGGTTAGTAAG